AAGGAGGGGGCGACGGTGGTGGAGGGTACAGAGGAGCCGCGCTCCCTAGAAGGCGGAGGAGGAGGAGGAGGAGGAGGAGGAGGAGGAGGAGGAGGAGGTAGGAAGGCAGTTTCTAGTTCATCTTTCAAGTATGTAACCATCTTATGTTGAGTTTAAGTTCATCGACGCCGCAATTGTATCTATCGAATTGTCATGGTCTCCTCAGCTTCCTCCTCCCTTACCTGCTAGTCCATCTCGAGCAACGAACTCATCCTTGTCGATTCCTCCGCTGTTGTTCGGATCGAATATTCCTGCACAGCGAAAAAAGAGGGGAGGATGAAAAGGTATGCAAAAGAGAAGTAGGAGCAGGAGCAGGAGCAGGAGCAGGAGCAGGAGCAGGAGCAGGAGAAGAAGATTAGGAGTCATTTTTCTCGTCTGCCCGCTTGAATGTTTTACCCCAAACCGCCGAAACGACACTGCGCATCTGTTCGATTCGTGATCTGTGAAAGAGTATAGGTAACGTCAGTTGAGGGAGAGCAGGAGCAGGAGGAGGAGCAGGAGGAGGAGCAGGAGGAGGAGCAGGAGGAGGAGGGGGATGAGGAGGGGGAAGAGGAGGAGGAAGAGGAAGAGGAGGAGGAGGAGGAGAGGCAAGTACGAGGACAACCTGTCATCGCTTAGCCGGAATGTCTTGATCAGCGCTCTAACAATCTCCTCCTGCTCCAGGGTTCCGCTCTTGTCGTAGTCCCAGTAGTCGAACCTGCTCTCGTCAGCTCCAGGCTCCCCACCTCCCTCCTCCTCCTTACCACTCTTCCTTGTTCTCCCGCACATCCGGAATCCGAGCCTCGCGCTCCACTGCTCGGGTGGTAAGGAGATTCCTCCTCCTCCTCCTCCTCCTCTCCTCCTCCTCCTCTCATCATCATCATCATCATCATCATCATCATCATCATCATCATCATCATCCCCCTTCCCCTTCGATCCTCATTCTACTTCTGCTTCCCCTTTCCATTCCAAGGCACCTCCTCCTCCCCTTGCTGCTTCCCCTCCCCATCCTTGTCCGTCCCCCTCAAGTTTCCCCTTCCACTCTTCCTCTCCTCTCTTCTGCCTCCGCTTCCTTTGTCCCTCCTTCTCCTTTCCTCCCCGCCCCCTTGCCCTCCTCTCACAGGAATTCCCTCATGTTTCTTCTCTCAATCCTCGCGAGCATCTCCTCCTCCTCCTCCTCCTCATCATCATCATCATCATCATCTCACCGTCGCGGTAGAAGTCTCGACGAATACAAGCAAGAAGACCGTCAGAAGCCTGCCAAGAGTCAGGAAGAGGAGAGGAGGAGGAGGAGGAGGAGGTGGGGGAGGGGAGAAGAAGCATGAGGGAGTTGTTGTGAGAGGAGGGGGAGGGGGCGGGGAGGAAGGGAGAAGGAGGCGCAGCGGCAGCGGCGGCGGAGGAGAGGGGAGGAGGAGTGGGAGGGGAAGCTGGAGGAGGACGAACAAGGATGGGGAGGGGAAGCAGCAGGAGGAGGAGGAGGAGCAGTAGGAGGAGGAGGAGAAGCAGAAGTAGAAGAAGGAGCAGAGGAAGAGGGGGAGGCGGAGGAGGATGATGATGATGATGATGATGATGATGATGAT